GAGAGAGGTCCATATGTAGTACCTATATATGTAATATCAAAGCAATTGGGCTTGCGGTTTTCAACAGGAAGTTGAAAATATCACTTTTTACCAAAAATGACAAAAATATTCACCAAAATTAGAGAATTGAAGATATCATCATGGAATGAACAAATCTAAGAGAGGTCTACCCAAGGTACATATACACCAAGTATCAAAGCATTCAGGCTTGTAGTTTTCAAGAAGAAGTCGAAAAAGTAAAACATTGACACGGACGACGACGACGGACAATCACTCGTATAAGCTCCGCTGGACAAAGTCGACAGTGGAGCTAATAAAACTGTTTTAATATAAGACAGCAGAACCTCATAAACTAAGCCAGTAACACATTATTTGTATAAACATTTTGCAGTATTTGCATTTGTAAGTTTTGATATTTTTGCTTTGTTTCTTTACTTTTCATGTAGTTATTTTTCTTTTACTAATATCTGATTTGTAACCCTTTTCATGCAATATGTGTTAATAAATAAGCCATACGTGTCCCAGTTAATAAAGTGCTTATCATGCAATTATTATGAAACAATAGCAGACTTAGAAAAATTGTGAGAAGATGATATCACAGTTTCCAGCAAAATCAGGTGGCAGAGCTTACCGTACATTTCCCTAAAACTTAAATACTGGTGAAAACAGATGAATATATTATGTACCGTAAAATCTGTATTGAAAGCCGCATCTCTTATAGAAGCTGCACACAGTCTTTTTGAACAATTGAAACTCAAAAATTCACCATTTCTCATATGTGTAGATGCTCTAATAGAAGCCGCATTCCCTCTGTTGCATTGTACCATTTTAATAGAAGCAGCGGCTTTTAATACAGATTTTACAGTAACTGTTTACTTTAAAGGATAATTATACAACATGTAATATCGTAGAAAACGATAAAACACAAGATATATATACCGGTAGACAGTGTTCAATGTGATGAACACTTACACTACGCGATGTACATCAACGCCAGGTTGATAAAATGCCTACAGTTGACACATCGAGGTGATAAACGAATTAAAGATATATTATTATAAATCACTGAAATCGGGTCTGTATTCTGTCACAGTTTAAACAAGAACTAAGTGAGATCAAAAACCAATATACCAGTACTACTTATTTATATACTACTAACGAAGGATCATTGGATATAACATCTTGCCATTTTTACTGCTACAGGATAACCTTAACCTATTTTTATCGTTTCACTAAAAATGGTCACCAGGGTAGATCCCATGGGGAGAAAGTCATTTACTTTCATGAAAACAAGTTTGAGTACCCGCATCTGTTATTTGTTCATTTATTTGGAACCTTGCACGTCTATCTGTAAATTACTAGTATATGTATATTTATGATATAATAGTACACTCCATATTGTATGTGAGCAACCATATTCAGAAGACATTTAAAGAGAAAAAAACATGAAACCTTTGAAATGATTCTATGTCAGTGACTAAAACGTGCACCAGGTTTTCAACACACATACAGAGAAGCTTGATTCGCACTAATGTCCAAATGTAAAAGTAAAGTTTTGAAAAACAGCTTCACACATTTTGTTCACCAGTTACTATGACTATAATAACATATGAACAGAACTGGAGTTGACTAACATAAATCTTATTCTAAGGTTTCAACTCAGCCCACACAAACATGTATGCAGGGAACTGGAATTCTTGGTTCCTGAAAAGATATTAAGGGGGTTACTTTGGGCAAACATGAATTTCTTTTTTCTATGAACCTTTTATATTATTCTTTGCTATTTAAAATTCAGAAGAAAAAGTTGGGTACCAACTAATTTGAACCTCAAACACATTTGCCATTATTCTATTCCAGAATGGCCATCAAAATAGGGTTAATATTTGGGAGAACAATTTCCATGGAAACAAGTTTGGGAACTTGCCCATCATTTTTATTTTCTCTTTGCCATACCGGTAATCGATTTGACCTTTCATTCAGCAAAATATCAAAAAATTACAGCGCTTTTATTTTTTTACTACTTATCCACGGCCACTCTTAAATTTATACAGGGGAGAGGAAAACTGAACAAAACAAAAAAGAAACACCTTTCTGTCAATATAGCGCCCTCAATTTTGGGATTGGCAAGTTACCTAACCAAAGTTGCAAGCAATCTCTTTCTCACTCCATACAGTCAGACAGCAATAATGCCACAGTAATGAATATGTCAACAACTATTTATTACAAACGAGATGATAGTTCATATTTATCATTGACAGCTATTTGAAGAAATCCAGTTTCTATGTTTGACACTAACTCTTTTCAAAACCAGATTCACAAGTCCATCTTTTGTAACAATGTAACAATTGCCAATTCAGTCTTGTTACGTTGTGTCCATTGGCTTTTCTGTTGGTGGCTCTTCTTTTATAGCAAGTTGTGATTGCTCTGATTTCATATCGCAACCAATATCAGTAAGCAAATTTGCTGTACTTTCCATTGCAGCTACCTGTCAAACGAAACAAATAAAAAGGCTTAATTCTGGAACTAAAGAATAAAGGCATAAAATAGATACAGTAAATCATACGAGCCTATTCAGAGCATGAGAACTCTGTAATGTACAGGTATTATTTATATAAAATCCTCCTCTCGATAAAGTTTATATCTTAGAAGGTCCTATGTACTCAGGCTTCAACATGTACATTACCCAAACTTGTGAATAAACAAATGTATGGTGAGTCATATTGACAATCAATGTGGTTTCATGTCTCTCAGGGAGAGGAGAGAAACCCTCAGAAGAAGCATAAATTCTAGACTTGACCATTCATACCTGCGGCTCCACAACTCCAGAGATATCAGGAATCTGTTTTAAACCATCTTCTATATTTGTTAAATTTGGAACATATTCTGATGATTCTGTCTGCTCTGCAAGTGTTTGTTCATGGCTTTCAACATCAATTTGTTGTGTTTCCTGCATAGATGAAACATATTTATTTTATAAGTATGAATGATCCCTTTCATGACTGCCACTCATCAAAAGGTCTGTAAGCTTGCTTAGGGAACTTTAAGTAGTTGAGTAAGTTTCATGTCATATACTGTATTGGTATTTGTAGTACATGTCTTTTGTCACATTAACATATCAATGTGTTTCATATTTTTTTAACAATTTTAATCAAAACATTTGAGCAATGGGATATTATTATATTAAAAAAAATTTCATTTTGAAAAAAAATTGAGCAGAAAAAAAAAATTAAGTAAATGACAGAAGTATCATGATAAGTCACATTTAAATGAACATATAACAAAATTTTGGGTTTATGTATGCTTGTAAGTTGTATTAAACTTAAGAATATTCATATCTACAATCATTAAAATATACATCTCACGCATGTACATAGAGCGATATCCCACCTCAATAGTTTCCGGTCTTTGTTCAAACCTTTGTTGATATTCTGGTAATTCTGTGTGTAATATGCACGTTGTTTTATCCAGACCAAATACTGGTTTATTACATCCACTTTCACTGTCAGTACACATCTGGAACAGTACTTGGTATGGATCATGAAGAATATCTGAGAGATGTGATGTTAAGGAGGGTCAAAAATCATCTAATAAATACTGAAGAGATTTTCAATTAGCCAGTGCCTTAAAATATCCAGCAAATCCTGTGTATTTAGATACAAAGTGAAAAGCTATCTTTACAACTGAAAATCAGAAATTCAGGACACATCTTCTACTGAAGCTAAATTCCAGAATGCAGAAACAGAAATCCCCTGGAGGGGGGGGGGGGGAGCTAAGTCAAGCATGGACGCCAAATTAAACGAGTATGGTATTTACCAGAGGAACAAACAAAAGGATACGTTGCAAGCAATATTTGGAGTAAGGCATAGCTTTATCATTACAGTGGATTCCTCTTTCTACATGAACACATTTCAGTGGTTTGATCGATTTAGGGGGTGCGATGTGATAGTCTGGTGTGGCAGTTATTCTTCGTTCTCTTGATTGCTGGTACAGAAGAGCTTCTTTGCCTCGTCTCTTGCGATAACTCTTCAATGCTTGTAGTTTTTTAACCTTGTGTTTTTCTTTGGGATCTGTTGTTTTGCCTAGTCCTTTTCCTATTGAAAAGAAAATGTGGGATTCACATGTAAATAATATTGTAACTAAATATAATTACATATTGTTCAACTAAAAGAACATATGGTCAGTCACAGTCGCTACAAATAAATTGTATCTTGCATCTTTCTCAAGTAAGATATTTAGAATATAGAATCCACCCAATTGATTTTGTGTACATTTTGAAAATGGAAATAGAATATTTACTGGCACGAGTTTGAACATGTCGCATTCTTTTACATAAATTCGTATTGATGCAACCCCTGAAATGCACAGTCCACTGCAATACACAGAAAAAATTGCTAACCTATGGTTTCTTGTTCCATCTTATTTGATGATAAAAACTTTCTTCTTTTTTCTTTCAGCACATGCTGTAGTCTTTTAAACTGATCTATGTACAATGACTGTAATCGTATCAGTTTGTCTCTCGTTATGAGTGCTACTTCCTCTGCTGTGTAAATCCCAGCATGCCTACAAGAGGATTGAATATTTTCAAATTAGAGGATAGTTCTTGAGACCTAGTTACCAAAACAGTTAGCATTGCAATTAAAATTCACAAGAGCTGACTTTTTACAAAATGTTTGCCTGGTTGCCAAATGATGACTGTTTGAAAATAATGGGTGATTAATTATAACTTTAATCAAAGAAAGCTTAGAAAGAACTCCCATGTGCCGAGAGTATTGGAGACACATTAAATATAATTCGAAATTACTTAGCTAAAAACTAATTATGCAAATCAGAAAATTAATATGACCAGATTTGAGTGTAAAACTAATGAGGTCTGCGCAATGTAACAGAAAATCTATGTCTCCAAGTATAATTGAAATGTGATTAGAACCAAAAAATTATGAATTATTATGCTTATTAGGGAATTAATATGAACAGATTTTTACCCCAAACTAATTAGGTTTGTACATTGTCCTAGAGCATCTTTGTACTAAGTTTCATTGAAATGGAATAATTAGTACCGTGAAAACTCCAAAATTTCGACCCCTCTAAAAATTCGATTGGCTATTTATTTGCCGGGTTTCGGTGTTTTATTTACCTCCAAATTTTCGACTCCACTAAAAATTGCCGACTCATTCTTATTCGAAAATTGCGAACCAGTTT